TGATACAAACAGACATTTTCACGTATTTCACTCAGCTGTACAATCAAATATTCATCTGAGGCTATTTAGACATATGGTATGTGATAGTGATCCTCAAGTAATAAAATAATCAAACTCTTCAACCGAAAAAGAAAAGGATGAACAGCTCGTTTAATTAAAGCATCTCTTTCTTTTTCTAGACATTCGGTGTCGATCGTCAACAATTGATCTGCAAAATCCGCAATGCCCGATTTGTCAAGTATCATTAAATGGACAAGATATGCTCACACATGTTCAACATGAACTCGAATCTATCGAACGTCGACAACAACAAAGAGTAAAACGCGGAAATAAGGTAATAGATCGGCAGTTTCTTTGCTTCAAAAACTGATTCGTTCATATTTCTTTAGATTCTTCAAGACAACAACAGCAATAATATTGACCAAACTTTCAAAACACGTTACGAGGTAAAGAAATGAGAATCTCTTCGTATTCGGTTATTCAATTCTCTTAATTTTTCTTCTAGACATTTTTACGAGTACGAACCAGTCGCCAACAACGACTAAATGGTAAACATCTGTTCTTTTCTTCTCGAACTCAATCAAACTACGTCTTTCTTTCTCCTTTAGCTAAACTACAACTTCATAATCGCCGTTTAATTCGTACGGATTCTCGAAGTTGTCCAATATGTTATCAACCAATTCCAATCACTTCCGACGATGAATATTTCTTTGCTCATGTTCAACAATGTTCGAGAAAGGTACTTGAAAAGAAGAGCATTCCAAGAAAAAACAACACTGATCCTTCCGTTTGATTTCTCTTTTCAGAGAGAACAATTAGCAGCTGTAACAGCAATAGCCAATCATCATCGTTTGTCATCATCACCTCCACCACCAACGATCGATGATCCTGATGTGAATGTTGTTGATCTTGATGATGGCATCGAAAAGAGCACAAGTGGTACGACAACAAGTCTCAGTTGTCAAGAATCGTTCAACAGTGATCAAAGATATTCTCCATCAGCTCAAACAGATATTTCCTACACGAAGTCACCAACTGTGGCAGAAATCGATCCTCCCAAATGTGTCGTTTGCATGGTAAGTTGTGAAAGCTCACATCAATTCAAGTAATCTTTGCATTTTCTAGTAGGATTAATGGTCGATGATTTGTGAAGAATGTTTGTCTATAATGGCTGAATTTCTCATTTTTTGCCTTCTACTCTCTCACTCATTTGTGCGTGTGTAGTATTGTTTCAATTTGTTGTGTATGCGGTATATAAAAAATAAAATAAAAATGCTATTTTTTATTGTTCTAATAACACTTCACTTGTTACAAATCAAACATTCCGCATGTCACAAACAATAGATCACTTCAATAGACATCCGTTTGCCGTTTGGAATAAATTAAAAAGGTCCAGAGGACGCGAATGACTTTCGGAAATGATGACGTTAGATTCAAATGAATCACCTGTTCATTTCAAACTAGATCGCTTCGAAAAGTTCTCAGCCTGATTCATCTTTCTTTCTTCTCATAATCAGCTATGAACTGATCCTAACTGGCTGCGTTCGTTGTCTTCTTTTTTATTGACAAATGTTTATCAATCAATTGAGCAGTTCAACATCAAACAAGAAGAAAGAACTTCTCTGATCATCGTATCAGTGTCAATCTCAATCACTTCGATCGTTTCAATCGAGTATGTTAACGATTATTCTATTAACACGGTTATAAAAAATCAATTACACATGGTGCACGTGTATTTTTCCATGATCGTTATGCTCACCAACAATGAGCAATGTTTGCTGAGCTGATGAGATTGTTTATGACGTCAGATTTGTTTTTTTCGATATAACTTGATGACTTCGTGGGTGTTCGTGAAACGATTTACTTTCACACGTTACATGTTGTCTATGTCATAAGGAAAAGAAACATTATTATTGTTAAATTTGTTATTCTTGTTGTTATTCTTTGCTCGATTCACATTCACGCGAAGAACAGGAAAAGATAGTAGACACGCGAAAAGAATGTTATGAAGCAATACTAATGGGTTATCGATAGACGTTTGTCTACGCCCAGTTTTATTTTTTCACCTAACCGATATTGTGACTAAAGTGTGACAATTTTACGGTGATAAAAATTGTACATGAACATTGACCGAAACACCTTTACCGTTATATTTAGCAGATGTTCATACGGATCAATACGTTCTCAATTTCGTCGACATAGAAAACAAATAATCGATGCTAAGGCTTCCGAATATCTCAAGGGAGTTTATTTATTTAAAAGAAATTGTTCATATCTATTGATAAAACATTCTGTGTTAGTTCATCTCTGAGGATATCGAGAACGTTCAACGATTGATTCTGTATGGTCGTTGCCAATTGTGAATAGAGAGCGTCTTCATTAGCCGATGATTTACCTGATAGATCGTCTAATGCTTGTTCGAGACGATCAAAGGTATGACACAATAATGTATAAATTGGTAAATAAGCTTCTTGGGCTGCTCTCGCACGTTCTTCTAATTGCTCTTGCGTTAACGTCACGGATTCTTTCTCCGGTTTTTCGGAATCCACGAACGATGATTGTTTACTCAATTGAGAATTAGTACCACTAGCAGTTCCACGTTTGCTTGCTGCCGACGGCGTTTGAGGTGGTGCTGGAGCTTTCTTTGCAGGCTAAAACAGAACAAAGATTATCTTATCTGATCACAATTCGACTCGAAGTGACGATATAACTATAATTATGATCTTTTCAATGGATTATATATAAAATAGCAAAAAGCATTGTGCTCGAATATTAATCATATTAGATATTTGGAATGAAAACAAATGATCAACATAGTTACCGATTTTCCAGCAGCTTTTTTCTCTGCTCCTTTCTAAAATACATACAATTCACACGATACTTTCAGCTTTAGAAAATCACATGTTCGTCGATTGATAAAATGCATCGATCAAATAGTTTTAGATCGGCAAAGGAGCTGTACCGACTGTTTAGCTACTTTTACCATCTTTTACCATCAAACATAGGTACATTCTAGTGATGGCGGAAAGTCGAAGCCAGAAAACTTGTAATCAGTCAGAGCAGCTCTTTTGCTGCAGCATATTACAAAAGAGCAGCGAATATATACTAACTTTGCCTTTATCGCCTTTGTCACCCTTTGCTGCGCCTTTCTTATCCTTTGCCGCGCCACCGGTAGCACTCTTCGGTCGTTTTTCAACTAAATAAAAGTTCGATAAAGTCTAAAAGTCAGCCAACTAAGAAAGGAATCTCACGTTCTTGTTGTTTATTAATTTCGTAAGCTTTTTTCCAAGAGGTGAATTCGTTGCCGTCTAAAAATCAGATTCAATCATTGATTTCAACATTTGTTGTTACATACACAAATCAAAATCTGGATAAATATCAACAACTTGTTCGGTTGTTTGGACTTTATTATGAATAATAATCATTTCATCGACGAATGAATCGATAAATTGATTCATAATATCATAACTATTAGAAAATATTTTCGTTTATCCGTTGAATCGAATAGTTCAATTCCTACGCACCAAACTAGATATGTCGTTTGTTCAGTAGGTACTAAAGGTTGAAGAGTAAGTTGATTTATTGCTTGATTGAGTTGTTCAAGTAGATTTGATTTCTCCGGATTTTCTTCGTCAAGTGCGAGAATTCTGTTTCGTACTGTCTCGAGTGATAAATCCCATTTCTGATCTTCTTCGTTGGTAGTAAGTTGTTGATAAATCTTCTTAATTTGTTCAAAAACTTCGAAATCGAAATAGAGCTAGAGCAACAAATGAAATTGACTTTCGTTTCAGTTGTTGGATCATTCTTACATCAGGATTCTTCTCTTGGAACTGTTCTTGTTCGGTCATATAGAAACCAATGGGCGAACGAGCACGTTCAGGTGTTCGAACATTATCGAGAATATTCTCAACGATCTTTCGAACGATGCTTTCCGCTTCTTTATGAAAAAGCATTTGCTAAAAATGATTTCGAACAAATACTTCAAATTCGTTTGTATGTCAATCAACCTACTTCAATTTCCAGACGTGTTTGTCGATGAACATCTTCTTCTGTCGTGACTCCCCGTAATGTAAAGATAATTGGTCGACCGCCGCAAAGAACAGGTCGTGTCAATAATTGCCAACGTTCAGTGAATATTCCAGGCTCATTGGATTTGAATACAAATGAAAGTTTAAGATTCTCATTTGGTAAAATCGAACCTTAAATAAGCGAGAAATATTATGTTTAAATGGACAACACGACAGAGTTCGAAGCAAGCAAAGTAATTGGCTTTGCAAAAAAAGTGGATGAAATAGTCTCAAATTGCAATAGATGGTACTTGGATGCTGAGAAAGATCAGTGTCAAGGGTATTTTCGAAGAAAAGAAGAGAGCCTTGGAGCATAAAAGCAGAGTAAATTCTACCATAACTCTCGTGAGAACAAAGAGGTTTCTCATAACGTTGAAATCTAGGTACTACAATTGATATGATGTTTGTTTTATCGAAATACTACGACTCGTATCGGTTATTTACTTGTACGATTGTCAAAGTAGAAACGTTGAACTTTCGAGTTGACAATATCGAATGGTTTTGTGTACGGTTTTTGTTGCCATTCATAGTAGAAAACTGTCGAACCAACGTTTTTTATGTCCACTACACGTATTACACTTTCTTTGATTTGACTTTCAAATTGAACGCGAATCTCATAGATAAAATCGAGTTCTTCGTTCTCATTCACGTTGGGCATTTGTTGAAAGACAAATGAATCGATTTTCAATGCCGGACCTGAATTCGAAGAAACTATTCGAAGGCAAATTTCTCCAGAGGAATCCTTACCCATAATTGGCATATCAACAACATCCGGAATATCATTGAGTGCTTCACTATAATTTTCGTTTTCTTTATCGTCGTCATCGATTTGGATGTTATCAGTCGTTTTCATTTCGTCTTCTTCTTCATTGGTTTTGCTGTGAATGTGAACTTCAACGTCACTTTTCTGTTGATTTCTTCGCCGTGATGTATTGTAACCTATGACTTCGAGAGATGCAAGATCAGGTTTATGCGGAAGGATTTCTTCCATCAATGGATTCAATTGTTTGAATCGTCTGTCCAAATATCTAAAGAAATGTTTTCGATTGAAATGAAAATGAGAAGAGAGACCACGTACTCAGAATTGAACCAATCTCGCCGGTATAAAGCGTCAGATGCTTTATCACCTAAATCTAAACCAGTTTCTTGCAGACCGATATTGGATTTACCAATGATTTCCACTGGTAGTGGACAACCGATTTCGGTTCGTGTTAGTGTCGTACTAAAACACGAAAGAGATCACTGAATAATTCAATGACGATTTCAATCATCGAATCGTTTACTGTATTCCTGTATCTTCATTGCCAAGCAATTGTTGTTGTGCCCAAAACTCACTATGTAAACGCCAGTTTTTTCCATTTTGTAGTAGTGGCAAGGTTGTCTCCATTAAATCGAGAAGTTCTTTCCGTTCTCGCCAACGATCAGTTTGATTCATCAATAAAGTGGCTGGAGATCGTTTCAGTTCCTCTAAAAATACAGAGTTAAGTCGTTTCACGAAGGTTTTTCTTGAGCAATGATCTACTTGACATAGTTTTCATCACTTGCCGTCGCTCATCCATGCGAAATTTCCAATTATTCAATGATCTAGCACCGCCGTCAGGACTTCCGGTTGATCGTCGACTTTTCTTCGGGTATCTTCCAATCTCTGGCACATCTTCAAGAGTTTTCTTCGCTGAATTCGTTGATCCAAGCTGTAAACAGACGTTTTCGCTTTGTTCACGAATCTCTATCACAAATACTTACTTCGGTTGCTTCTTGCTCTGATAATTCCGCAACATATTCATTGACTGAACCAAGAATACTATAGGGAAGTAGTTTTCCCGTCAAATCGAAGCGTAATCCTGAACTAATCAATTGGTCTTGTACTGGTTGTCCCGTAGCTATTTTCGCTACTTGAACTCTATAAGAGATGAAACTATTCGATATCGTATGTTAATCATCCATTACATACGTACGGTTGTTTTTTTGGACCTGTTTTGGTCTTTTTTACGATAAAAGATTTCTGCTGATCTTCGTCATTAATCGTATTTTTGCCGCTTTTGTCTCGATGTAACTAGAAAA